CACCCCGTTGGGGCTGCCGGAGGCTCAGAGCGGCCCCAGGTAATGTGCACAGCGCAGGGCCCAGCACACAGCAGGGACTGGAGTCAGCCTCCTTCTCTCTTCTCTTCCCCCTGGACACCCACTGACGTCAGCATTTCCCACCCCTCCTGGGCAGGCACCCAGCTTTGCCTGTACTTCCCCCCGCCCAGCGCTGATGAAACGCCAGGTGGGTGCCCTCCGCCTGCCGGCCTCCTACAGTCAATGGACTGCAAAGTGCAGCAGGGCGGGGACTGGCCTTTCTCCTGTGGTTTCCAGGCCCTGCCATGGTGCTGTGTAAAGATTTGTGGAAGGAAAGAAAGGAAAGAGAAAGGGAAAGAGAGGGAAGAAGGGAGGAGAGGAGGGAGGGAGCCCCTGAGCTCTCACCTAACACGCCGCCGACAGCCGTTTCTGGGTTCTATCCCAGGTCCAAGGGGGACGGGAGAGGGGAGGGACCCCTGGGAGACAGCTAGACCCTGTGCTGAGGGGGCGTGTATGAGGGGAGGTAGAGGCTCACCCGTGGGGGTCCCCACCCTGCCTCAGTCTCCCTCCCTCCTTCCCACCAGCTCGCTTGAGGACGGGGGAGGAGCAGAGGTTGGCCACAGAGACAAGGGCTCTCCGAGAGCGACCCTGCCGTGGCCAGCCCCGTGGCAGAGGGCAGGCAGGGCTTCCTGCACTCCAGGACTTGGCTCAAGCCTGAGGCAGGCATTCCTAGCTCCATCGCTCCTTCAGGAAAACTGAGGCTTAAACAAACTGTCACTGGCCTAGGGCCCGGGACAGGGCTGAGCGCTAGCCCAAGCCTCAAGCCTTCTCCTCCCGTTCCTGGCAAGGAGAACGGCAGGAGCTGCAGGAGGCGGGCTGGAGAGCGTGGCCAGTGGGCGCTGGACAGGCAGAGAGCAGGCGGGCAGGAGGCAGAGCTGGGAGCAGGCCCTCTGCAGCTTCCTGGAGGGGGAAGAGGGAGCTGGGGTCTGAGGAAGGTGGGAGGGGGCCAGGCCCCAGCCCCGACGTACCGGTGCAGACCAGCCCGGCATCCTCGCTGTGGTCACAGTTGCTCCGGCCCCAGGGGCTTCGGGGGCAGTCTCGGAGGGCCTGTTCTCCTCCTCCACAGCCCACGTCGTCCATCCACACGGGCCCTGCACCAGGCCCGAATCTGGCACCCCCGGGGGCCGCCAGCGCCCCCCCACAGCCCAGTTCCCGGCAGGCCACAGCGGCGTCACGCAGGTCCCAGCCGTCATCACACACGGTGCCCCAGCGCCCGCCATGCCAGACCTCCAGGCGGCCAGCGCACCTGTGGGGACCAGAGACTAGGCGCAGCCGCTCTGTGGGGTGAGCAGGGAGGGGAGGGTGTGGCCAGTGAGAAAAGATTCAAACACCCCTTCCTCGATTTCCACCCGGGGGAAACAGGCCTCAGGGAGCGGTGGCCTGAGATCTGCCCGCCAGCAGCCCGTTAAGAGGTGAGTCCACAAACTGAGTGGGCCAGGACACCTGGGCCTCCTGACAGGGCAGGAAGAAAAGGGGAGACCAGGCCTGATCGTCTAAATCTCCGGGACAGGGACACAGTGAACACTGGGATCCTTCCAGGGCCCCGGCTAAGGAGAGGGCACCCACGGGTCCTGTTTGTCTGGACGCTGGGCCTCACAGCATCCAGGCTTGGGGTCGGGGGAGCCTGCAGGGAGCTTACCTTGGCGGGGGGCTCCAGTTGTCAGCAGAGGGGCCCGGGTGGACTTGGCCTGCTTGGGCCGGGGGCTCTTCTTCCGGGAGGCATTCTGGGGGTTCCCAGCGAGGCGGGGGCCTGGGAGGGGAGACAGCCAGGGGTCAGGAGCTGAGCCCCTCATCCTTCCTCCCATCTGGGGGCCAGGCCTCTGTCTCTGAGGGTCTGAAGTGATGGAAGTTTCCCTGGGCTATGAAGGAGACGGGGTGGGGCGGAGAGGTGGGCAGTGTGTCCCCTGGGGGTTCTTAGTGCAGAGGTCTCTCTCCCCTCGGCGGGAGCAGGAGGGTGCACTGGGTGGGGGTGGGCAGGGCAGTCCCCTGGGCTCACCGTGTGTCACCGGGGGCTCCTCCGTGCTGGGGCTCAGCTCCACCAACAGCCCTGGCCAGGGAGCCCCATCCAGGGGAGACGTTGAATCGTCCCTGGAGTTAGCCACACGCTGACCTGCGGCGGGGGAGGCGGGGACAGAAGCTATGAGGAGAGTAGGGGAATCCAGGTCACTTGGGTCCCTGGAAGAGGAAGTGAGACTCCTGGCTTTGGAGGGGATGGGAGGTTGAGTGTCTCTGGACTGCTGCACACTCAGACTTTCTGGGGCTAAGGACTTGGGATTCCTGGGACATCTCCAAAGGAAATCCCCGTGAAGGAGCAGCCAGGGTGTCCTCACCTGCACAGACGACGCCCGCGTCCTCCTCGTGGGAGCAGATGTGGGCCTTCCAGCCCCGGTGGTGGCAGAGGCCCAGCTGCCCTTCGTTGCCCCGGCAAGCCAGCTCGCTGAGCCACACGGGCCCTGCCCCCTCCCCGAAGAAGGCGCCTCCGGGGGCGGCCAGCGCCCCTCCGCAGCCCAGCTGCCGGCAGGCCACAGCGGCGTCACGCAGGTCCCAGCCATCATCACACACGGTGCCCCAGCGCCCGCCGTGCCAGACCTCCAGGCGGCCAGCGCACCCATGGGGGCCATCGGCCAGGCGCAGGCGCTCTGAGGGTTGGAGGAATGACTGTGACTGGGGAGGGGCATCCTTGGGGTCCCAGGGCCAGGGTGACTGGGGGCAGGGGGCCATCCTGCGGGTACTGTCGGTAGGCCAGTGGCCCTGCTCACTGGCCCCTGGGTCCAGACTCCTGGGTGCTCAGAGAGATGCGGCCAGACACCTGGGGGATCCCAGCGCAGAGCAGGGGCCAAGGTCACAGTGGAATTCGGGTGGGCCAGGGACCCAGTGGGGGTGAGGCCAGGCCTGGACGGGCAGAAGGGGGAGTCCTGGCGCTGGGTGGAGGGGGGGAGATGGGAGGAGTCTGGGCACTTACCAACAGCCTGGATCCCCACCAGTGCCGCTGGAAGGGAGGGCAGAGGGTGGGGCAGAGTGAGGGGCAGGGCGGGAGTGGCCCTTTCTCCAGCGCAGGCCCCTCATCTTGAATACCCCAACACACACACACACGTGCACACACACACGCACACACACAGAGTCCTCACACACGCACGCACGCACACACACACGCACACACGTGTGCACGCGCACACACACGCCCACACACGCGTGCGCGCACACAGAGTCCTCACACACGCACGTGCACACACACGCACACGCACACACGCGCGCGCACACACAGTCCTCACACGCGCGTGCACACACATGCATACGCACACAGACACGCACACACACAGTCCTCACACACACGCATGCGCATGCACACACACGCACACACACAGAGTCCTCACACACGCACGTGCACACACACGCACACGCACACACACGCGCGCGCACACACAGTCCTCACACGCGCGTGCACACACATGCATACGCACACACACGCACGCACACGCGTGCACACACAGAGTCCTCACACACACGCGTGCGCACACACGCACACACACAGAGTCCTCATACCTCTGAACCAGAAACCCCGCTGCTGGGAGGCAGGACTCTGGACAGAGGGGCGGGCTGAGGCACAGGTCTCTGAGGCGGGTGGGGCTGCCGATGCCGGGTCCCTGAAGTCAGGGCTGGGGACCCCGGCTTTGGTACTCTCACATGGGCTTGGCTAAAGGTCAGGTGTCCGGGACATCCCCTGCAGGGTCAGGGCTGGGGGGCGGGCAGGGGGCAGGTCCCTTGGGCTTCTGGGCTCACAGAAGGCTGAGCAGATCAGGCAGGGATCCTTAGAAGGGATGTCAGGGTGTGCAGGAGCACCAGGGACCAGTCCCGGAAGTTTGAATCTCTAAACTGGGTAAGCTAAGGGGTCAGAGGTGGGGGCCTAGGCCCCCTGAGTCCCCAAGGAGAATGGATCACTCACCAAGGAGGCAGGCCAAGACCCTCATGGTTGCAGCCAGGGCAGGGGATGGGGTGAAAGGGGAAGGAGAGCGGGAGAGAAGAGGAGGAGGCAGCTGGGGAGAGAGGGAGGGAGGGAAGCGCCTGCCGGAGGCGCCCAGGCCCGAGGAGAAGCAGGCAGGGCTGGACACTTTGCCAGGAGAAAGAAAGAGGCTGCAGGGAGGCGGCAGGGGACGGGGGGGCGGGAGGGGCTGGCCGGCGGCTCAGGCATGGGGGGGAGGGGGGTGGCGGGCGGGAGGGAGGGTGTCCAACTGCAGACACCCACACGGGAGACGTAGACGACGGCCAGGCATGCTGCAGCCAGCGAAGTGCTGTGCTCAGAGATGCTCAGGGGGTGGCTGGCTGCAGGAAGGCGCAGGACAGGGGCTGGGGGACGTGTGCGTGGGGGTGCAGCATGAGCAGGAGAGGGTGCCCACCTGTCTCCTCTCTTGTCTGGTCAGGGAAATCCACTGAGACTGCTGCTAGGGTTGGGGCTTGGGCAGACCCAGGGGCTCTTGGTGCAGCAGCAAGAAGATTTGCAGCCAGACACCAGGAGGGACTTCCTGGGTTAGGAAAAGAGACTGAAAGACCCGCCCCTCCAGTCCTCCCTGTCACTGGTGGATCTGAGTGTGAGAGAGGAGAGTTTGAACTTCACCGTCCCAGAGGGAGCTGGGGTCGGGGGATAAGCAGCACAAGGGTCAAGGCTTGGGAAGGGGAGGGGCTCCACACACTCCTCCACACACTCACACACACCCCACTCCCTGCACACCAGGCAGCTGTGAGGTGGAAAAAATTCGGTAATAGGGAGCGTGACTCAGAAGGGCTGGCAGGGCCCAGGGCTGCCCCTGAGCTCACAGCCTCCCCTTCTCCCAGTCCAGCACCGCCCCCCAACAATTAATGTTAACTGGGGAAAGGAGGAGCCAGACAGAAATGGGCGGGGGGTGTCCGGAGACAGACTGGGAAAGGCATCAGAGATGAGACAGGCACACAGCGGTTCCAGGCTTTATTAACAAACGGTGTAAAAAACCAGACGGGTCTGGGGGAAGGGACAGGGCTGCCCATCTCAGCTCTCGACTGACCTTCCCGGAGAGGGGCCAGGCCTGGCAGCCCTGTGCACCGCGCCCGCTAAGCAGTCAACCTTGTCCCCTCCAAGCACAGGCATCTGACCCAATCCGGGTCCCAGGGAGGCGGAGTCGCAAACCCTAACTCGAGGGCATATTCTGCTGGGCCTCCTCTCCCCCTCCCCAGATAGCTCTCCCAGGCTTGGGGCACAGACTTTGCAGACATCCACCGGGGAGATTTCTCAGTGCAGACAGAGCTGAGGTAGGGGTTTTGGAGAGGCTGACCTCGAGAGGCCCCTGAGGGCCAGGAAGGAAAAGGAGTCATTGCACTCTTAGAAGCTCAAACACTCCAGACCTCACACTGCCGACTGCCGGGCACAGGCCAGGCTCCTCCCCTCGGCAGGCCTCTGTTTCTGGGCCCTGGGTGGCTGAGGACTCACGGAGGGAGAGCACGTAAAAGTACCTGCACACAGTAGGCGCTCTTCAGGTGCTGGCGCCCCTCCCTCCTTCCCTGCCCTGGCTGTCAGCCTGTAGCCTCACAGGTCTTTGCTGAATTCCCTCACCAGCGTGTAGCCCAGGCAGCCCCAGCCCCCCTCGGCCTGGTAGCCGCAGCCCTCCAGCATCCCCGCCACTCCCCAGGCAGCCACAGCCACGGGGACCACGAGCCGGGCCCGGGGCTCCCCCATGCCCCCAGCCCAGGCCCGAGCCCGGGCCTCCGCGAAGGCCAGCAGCCTCCTGCCCACGCCCCGGCGGCGGTGCCAGCGAGAGACAGACAGGCGGGTGACCCGGGCCCCGTCCCCTGCGTTCGTGCCAGGGGCCAGGGCCAGGACCCCACACACGTCACCGGAGCCCCGCACGGCCACCCAGGGCCCCCCCAGGCCACCCGGTGGAGGCAGTGAGCCCCATCGGGCCCGCAGGCCCAGCTTCACCGCAGCCACAGCCAGGAACACCGGCAGGAGGAGGGCCAGGGCGAAGGAGGCCAGGACAAAGCGCAGGCCGCTGCTGGCCGCCGCCAGGAGGAGCAGGGCCGGCGGCCGTGTCAAGGCATGGAGGGCCACGCGGTTTTCCGTGTCCTTCACGCCGGCCTGTGGGCAGGAGGGGTGGCTCAGCCATCCAAAACACTAGGGCCTCCTAGAGAGAGGCAGACCCTGCCCGGGGTGGGGCGAGGGCTCCCCAATGGGAAGGGAAAGCAGCACAGTCCGATGGTCACCAGTGTGGCACGCTGGGTATGGAGTGAATGAATGAGAGTGAATGATGGATGGAAGAATGAATCAGGAGCTGTGGGGGCACTCAATTCAGTAGCAATGCCGCAGTGAGGCGCCAGGGAAGTAGGGACAGGGAGCCTGCCTCAGGCTGGAGTGGAGGCTGGAGGGGGGCTGCTAGGCTAGACTGGGGGGCTGGCTGTGCTTTGGAGAGCTGGGGTCGGAGGCACAGAGCTGGCTGTTGCGCTGGAGTGCCGGGCCCACTGGAGATGCGAGACTAGGGAGGGCGTTAGTGCTGCGGTCCCAATAGGGCTGGGGGGTGAGCCCCCGGCTGCCACACCTGCTGCGGTTCTCAGCAGCACCTGGAGCTGCTGAACACCTTCCCGGCCCCCAGGGCGGCTGAGGACCAGGAAAAAAAGATCCCGCTCCGGGGGTTCAGGCTGGCTTAGGTGGGTGGGAGGGGGTGGCTGAATCCACTTGCAATGCCCCCCACTCCAGCCACTCCCAGGCCCCCGGGGCCCTGCCTCTCACCTTCAACATCTCCAGCACCAGGGGCTTCTCATCCTCCCTCATCTCCCGCACTGACAGGTGGCTGGGGGCCATGGCAGCCCCCAGGCCCCCGCCCCCAAGAAGGGAGCTGGCGTCGTGCACCTGGTGAGAACACAAGCAGGTCAGCGCCAGGGGGGCACCTCTGTCCCCAAAGCCCCCCGAGGGGTGGGGAGCAGCAGCAGCAGCACTTCCCCATCAGGACAATGAGAGCCCTCGGGACAAACAAGCGAGGCTCTGGGCAGGACAGGCGCCCCCCACAATACTCAGCGACCTTGCTAGTCTCCAGGACCCCCCTCCCCCGTATTACTCAGCGATCTACACTCCTAAACACGCTGTGGACGCCCACGCTTTGCAGCACGGGGCTCCCTCCCAGGCACGGGGCCACGAGCCCCCTCCCCACATGCCGGAGAACGGACCACGCTCGCTCCGCCCCGGTCCCCAGCGCCCCCTCCCCCACAGTCGTCCCCGTCCCGCGCCACAAGAACAAGGACCCGCAAGCACCTGCACGGGTCGCCTTTGGTCCTTTGACAGGGTTTCGCGAGCGGGTCTGGAGGGGGTCGCCGGCGGAAGTGACGTCAGACCGCGCGCGCTGGGGGCGGGGCGTTGCCCGCTGCGGGTCGTAGCAACCGTTGCTAAGCTCCCGGGAGGGCGGGCGGGGAGCAGTGACCCTGCGGCGGGCCGGGAGGTGACCTCTCCTATCCCTAGAGAAGGAGCAACGGGGAAAGGGGACCTGGGGAAAAAGGGCAGCGGGCGCCGGCAGGAGACGGGCGGCGGGCTGGGGACCAGCGCGAGCTCCCGCCCCACGTTCCCTCGTTGCTGAGCAACCTGAGCGCGGGGCAGCGATGCCCGCGGGTGGATTCTCATGGGTGCCGCGCTCAGCATCCCCCAGCCCAGCGGCGCCCCACCCCCCTATCCCCAGGGACCCCATTCCCCCCACGGGGCGCCCGGGCTCGCAGGGCCCTCCCGCATAAGGATCCCCCTATTTCTCAGACGAGGGGTGCAGCAGGGCGACCTACAGTGAACAAGTGGCGCTCCCTGGAGTCAGATGCCACCACCTCCCCACTGTAATGACCCCTGCGTCTTTTGGTTTCAGGACAGGGGAACTGAGCCCCACGTAGTGGCTGGCCCCAGGACGCTGACTCAGGACGCAAGTGTTAAGACTCCATGCTCCCAGGCGGGGGCTAGGACCATGACTTTCCCCCTCCCCTCCCCTCAGGAAAACAGAATACAGGCGGGGAGACTCGGGTCTTTATTAGGCAAGGCCAGCCTGCAGCACCCCGCCCCGCCCCGCCCCGGCTGGCAGTGAGTCGGGGTCTCTGTGTGGGGCGGGAGGGGAATCACTGGCTCTCCTCAAAACGTGTGCACCAGCTGGACTGCGGGTAGAGTCTGGACAATCTGGATGGAGGGCAGGCCCTGCGGGGTCATAACACCAGGCCCAGCTCCTGCGGGGACCACTTGTACCATCTGGGAGGCTGGAGCCGCGGGGAGCCCCGCGGGGCCCGAGGCTGGGCCTGACGGCTGTGGGGCCAGGAGCTGCAGCGTGGCGGCGCCTCCTCCAGTGTTGCTGCTGTCCAGCAGCTCAGTGGCTGGGGCACTGCGGATGATGAGGAGTTTCTGTCCGGGTGGGCCGGTGGCAGGCGGCTCGGTCAGCCCAGGGGGAAGGGTTTCTACCTCCTGTACGCAGAGCCGGGTCTGCTCGCCATCGGCCCCGCTCAGCACCAGCACGCTCTGCAAGCCCTCGTCCGTCTGGAGTGTCTCAAAGAGGACATCCTGGACCACACCGGTGCTGGCCTCACCATCCCCCGCCTCCCCGGGGCCCGGGCCCGTGAGCAACTCCTCAGCTGCTCCGCTCTGAACAACCAGCAGGTTGGGCGCCTCAGTAGCCACAGCTCCCCCACTGGAATTGGAGAGCTGGCCGGCCACAGGCTGGAGCTGGACCGTGGTCACCTCCTGTGCTGGCTGGAGCTGGACTGTGGTTACTTCCTGTGCGGGCTGAAGCTGGACCGTGGTCACCTCCTGTGCTGGCTGGAGCTGGACCGTGGTTACTTCTGGGGCTGGCCGGAGGGACTGGAGCTGCACCCCACTCACTTCCTGTGGCCCTGCCTCCCCACCCCCCACATTCTGCAGAACGATGAGGCTCTGCGCTGCCCCGCTGGCCCCTGCGCTGGCCGCTCCCTGCACCCCTAGACCCCCAGGGCCTGGCAGCCAGACCACTCCCGCCCCCTGGCTGGCTTTCCCCACTGCCCGCGGGCCCTGCCTTGCACGGCCGCTCCCAGCCCCAGCACTGGAGGAGGGCAGCAGGATGAGCTTGGGAGGTGCAGGAGGGGGCGGAGGTGTAGGGGGTTGCACGCTGCTAGGGATCAGCTGGAGGCCCTGGGCAGTTTGCACCAGGAGGAACGTCTGAGAGTTGGGCGCTGCTGGCCCCAAGCTCGGGGCCTGGGCCGTGCCCCCCGCCACCTCGAGGGAGAGCGTGGCCTGGAGGTGGGGCAGGACGTGGACATCTTGGGTGGCTGGCGGGGCCCGGGCGGCAGCCAGTGGAGCAGGGGGCTGGGAGCCGGCGGCGGGGGCTGTGGTGCTGGGAGCCGTGTTGGCCGGGGCGTGCGTCCTCAGGTGCCGCTGCAGGTAGGCGGCCATAACGAAGCCGCGACCGCAGATGGGGCAGGTGAAGGGGCGCTCGGCTGAGTGCGTGCGCTGGTGCAGCAGCAGGTTGGAGGAGTGGGTGAAGGTCTTGGGGCAGAGCGGACAGCGGAAGGGCCGCTCGCCCGTGTGCACACGCTGGTGCTGCCGCAGGTTGGAGGTCTGCGCGAAGCTCTTGCCGCAGACACCGCAGGCGTGGGGCCTTTCGCCAGTGTGCACGTGGCGGTGGCGACGCAGGCACGACGTGTTGCGGAAGGCCTTGCCACACTCCCCGCAGGCGTAGGGCCGCTCGCCCGAGTGCAGCCGCAGGTGGTACTGGTAGTGGGACGACCATTTGAAGGTGAGGCCACACTGGCCGCAGGTGAAGGCCCGCAGGCCCGTGTGCACGCGCTGGTGGATAGCCAGCAGGGAGGAGCGCTTGAAGGCCTTGCCGCACTCGCCGCACTGGTAGGGCCGCTCGCCCGTGTGGTCCCGCAGGTGGTAGCGCAGCCCGGAGGAGCCCTTGAAGGCCTTGCCGCACTCGGCACATTTGTAGGGCCGCTCCGCAGACGCGGGGGCGGACGGGGGTGGTGGCGGGGCGGGGGCGGCAGGCGCCAGCGGTTCCTGGGGACAGGTCACCTCGGCGGCCTCAGCCTGCGGAGGCGGGCGCCCGGCCGCCGCCTCTTCCACGTGGCACTGCTGATGAGCCAGGAGGCTGGCCAGCTGCGGGAAGGAGCCGTCGCAGCTGCCGCAGCGGAACGCTTGCCCGCCGGCAGTCCCGTGGCTGTGCTGGTGGCGGGAGAGCCCGGCCACCGTCCGGAAGGACTTGCCGCAGGGCAGACAGGCAAAGCCAGGGGCGGGGGCGGCGGCGGGAGGAGGGGGCTGCGGCAGAGGGGACGGTGGCTGGTCGGCCTTGGGCGCCTCGGCGGGTGCGTCCTGGGGCTGGGGCGCCGCCTCCGGCCCGGGGCACGGCTGGTGCTCCAGGAGCAGCTCCTCGCTGCTGAATCCCTGCTCGCAGCCATCGCAGCGGTACACCAGCTCCACCGTGGTCTCCGCCGCCGCCAAAAAGAGCTCGGGCACCACGGGCGGGGGCGGGGGCGGCGGGGCGGGGGGCGCGGGCGGGCTGTGGGGCTGGAGGTGCCGCTGCAGGTAGGCGTCGCACACGAAGACCTTGCCGCCACCACCGCTGGGCTCCCGGGGCTGGGGGGGCGGGCCCGCGGGGGCGGCACCCGGGGCGGGGGCAGGGGCGGCGCCGTGGGTGCGCTGGTGCAGCAGCAGGTTGGAGGAGTGGGTGAAGGTCTTGGGGCAGAGCGGGCAGCGGAAGGGCCGCTCGCCCGTGTGCACGCGCTGGTGCTGCCGCAGGTTGGTGCTCTGCGTGAAGCTCTTCCCGCAGACGCCACAGGTGTAGGGCCGCTCGCCAGTGTGCACATGGCGGTGGCGCCGCAGGCTGGACGAGTTCTTGAAGGCCTTGGGGCAGTCCGGGCACGGGTAGGGGCGCTCGCCTGTGTGCTGTCTTAGGTGGTACTGGTAGTGGGACGACCACTTGAAGGCCAGGCCGCACTGGCCGCAGATGAAGGCCCGCAGGCCGGTGTGCACGCTGCGGTGGATCTGCAGCAGGGAGGAGCGCTTGAAGGCCTTGGGGCAGTCGGGGCACTGGTAGGGCCGCTCGCCTGTGTGGCCTCGCTGGTGGTAGAGCAGGGCCGAGGAGCCCTTGAAGGCCTTGGGGCAGTCTGGACACTTGTAGGGCCGCTCGCCTGTGTGCGTGCGCTGGTGGTGCAGAAGCCGGGACGACCACCGGAATGACTTGCCACACTCCCCACACTCGTACTGGGCCGCCGGGGCAGGGGCCGCAGGGCCTGGCTTCTCCCCGGCCCCCTCCGCAGTGGAGGCCGGGGCCATGTCCGCGTGGGAGCCAACCATCACACCTGGGGGAGGGATTCCGGGTCAGGGGCTCACCCCCGCACTGGGTCATCTCAACGCCAAACCCACACACTACCTCCCCGGGTCACCCACTTTGCAGGGGACCTTCCTTAGGATTAGGGTCTCCAGTGGTCCCAGTTTGCTTGGAACATGAGCAGGTGCCAGCGATGCAAACTGGTGGTCACCCTCCTTAGGAGGCTGGCCAGGTCTGAGAAGGCGGGGCCCCGCCTTCAAGAGAGCAAGCGCTGCCTTTAGGAGTCTGCTCACTCCCTCTACAGACAGGTAGGGTCCCTGAAGACCACACACAGAGGGGCTCTCCGGGCCCTGCTCCTTGCTGCTCTCCCTCTAAGACTTTATCCTCCGCCTCGGCCTCAACACTCCTCCCACTGCCGTACCCTAAACCTCTTCCTGCTAACTAAATCCTCCTCATGGGGCCAGACACGGTGGCTTACGCCTGTAATCAATCCTAGCACTTTGAAAGGCCAAGGCAGGCAGATCACCTGAGATCAGGAATTTGAGACCAGCCTGGCCAATGTGGTGAAACCCTGTCTCTACTAAAAATACAAAAATGAGCCCAGCGTGGTGGCGGGCGCCTGTAATCCCAGCTACTCAGGAGACTGAGGCAGGAGAATTGCTTGAATACAGGAGGTGGAGGTTGCAGTGTGAGCTGAGATCATGCCATTGCACTCCAGCCTGGGCAATAGAGAGAGATTCCGTCTCAAAAAAAAAAAGTGTCCTCATGGTCTGAGCCTGGAACAACCTACTTCCCACCACCACAAAGCCTTCTAGGTCACTCCCGCTTGGTGCTTCAACTCCCCAAATCCTTAGACTGTAGCCCATCCCCATCTACCACCCAGCCCGCCCTGCCTCCTCCAGCCAGCCCACATCCTCACTCCCGCCTGACCCTGCACAAATGCTGCAGGTGGCCATGACAGGCACCCCCTTGCCTGGCCTTGCCTGGCCTGGCCTCAGTCTCACTTTGCCTTCATGCCCATGAAATCTGCAGCCCCCTCACCATCACCCTCCCTGGCTCACACTACACGTCTCTGGTCCATGCACTCGCAGGTGTGCTGCTTTCTCCTGAAACCTCCAGCCCCTCCTCTCCCCTCCTGTTCTTGGCAGGCAACCCTGTCCTTGATCATGCCTCTGTGAAAATAAAGGTTCTCACATTCTGACCACGATACCAGTGGTTCTCAACTGGGACAAATTGTGCCTCTGACCCAGGGGACATCTGGCAGTGCCTGGAGGCATTCTGGGTTATCTGTTAACTAGAGAGGAAAGTGCTCCTGGCATCTGGTGGGCGGAGGCCAGGGATGCTGC